GGGAGGAATAGAGGGAGGAAGAGGTGGTGGAAAAGAAGGAAGAAAGATACCAGAAGGGAAGGAAGGAAAGAAGGAAGGAAGGAGGCAGGGAAACAGAAAGAGGGAGAGAGAAACAGACAAACACACACACACACATACAAAAGGAGGGAAGGAGGAAAGAAGGAAGATTTAGACAAATTAACAATGGAATTTAAAAAGGGAAAATGAGGATGATAAACCCAATATCCCAATACTGGAAGAGAATATATATTGTGTACACACACAAACACACATAACTCTGATAGCATAGTGCCTAAGGCATTTGACTGCTAACCAGAAGGTTGGCAGTTCAAACATGCCAGCCACTCTGCGGAAGGAAGACTGAGCAATCTACTTCTATAAAGATTTACCACCTCAGAAATCCAAAGGGGCTTGCTATGAGTCAAAATTGACTTGATGGCAGGGAGGTTTTTTTTTTTTTTTGTTGTTGTTATATATGTAAAACAAAGAGAACACACACACAAAAAGGTGATATCATCCGTCATTGTTGATGTTGTTGTTACGTGCTGTTTAGTCGGCTCCGACTCATAGTACCCTTATGTACAACAGAATGAAACACTGCCCAGTGCAGCACCAGCTTCACAATCCTCCCTAAACCTAAGCCCATCATTGAAGCCACTGTGTCAATCCATCTCTTCAAGGCCCTTCCCCTTCTTCACTGACCCTCACTTTACCAAACATAATATCCTTCTCCAGGGAATGGTCCCTTCTGACATCATGACCAAAGTGGGTAAGATGAAGTCTGGCCATTCTTGCTCCCAAGGAGCATTCTGGCTGTACTTCTTCCAGGACAGATTTGTTAGGCCATCTGGCAGTCCATGGTATATTCAGTATTCTTCACCAACACCAAAATTGAAATGCATCAGTTCTTCAGTCTTCCTCATTAACAGCTTCATTAACTCATTAACAGCCTGAGATATGCAGATGACACAACCTTGCTTGCTGGAAAGGAAAAGGACTTGAAACATTTACTGATGAAAATCAAAGATTACAGCCTTCATTATCGATTACACCTCAACATAAAGAAAACAAAAATCCTCACATTTGGACTGATAAGGAGAGATGATGAGGAGAGAAAAGATTGAAGGTGTCAAGGATTTCATTTTACTTGGATTCACAATCAACATCCAAGGAAGCAGCAGTCAAGAAATCAGACATGGTATTGCACTGGGCAAATCTGAGGCAAAAGACCTCTTTAAACTGCTAAATAACAAAGATATCACTTTGAAGACTAAGGTGAGTCTGAGCCAAATGATAGTATTTTCAATCGCCTTACCTGCATGTGAAAAAATGTGTACAGCTTCTTAAACACCTATCACGTGCCAAGTAGTATACCTAATATTGATGATCCATAGATGTGAATAGCATATGATCCCTGCTAGCTTTAAAACCAAAACCAAACTCACTGCCCTTGAGTGGGTTCCAATTCATAGCGACCCTTCCTTGCTAACTTTCCCAAGCGCAACGCAACGCAACGCATTACCGTGGAGTCCTATCTGACTCATAGCGACCCCTCCTTGGATTTCTGAGGTGGTATCACTATGGAACTAGAAAAATTAACTCAGTTACCCACTCTTCAGGGTTGACAGCTCTGGTAGCATAGTGCCTAAGGTACTTGACTGCTAATCAGAAGGCTGGCGGTTCAAACCCACCAGCCACTCCTCGGAAGGAAGTTGGGGCAATCTACTTCCGTAGTGATACTGCCTGGGAAACACAAGGAGGGGTTGCTATGAGTCGGGTCCAACTTGACGGCACATAACAACAGCAACAACAGGGTTGACAGGTCTGCCTTCCCTTTGAAGGTCAGAACCACTCTTGAGCTGAGCTGACTAAATTCTACCTTGTTTCAAAAGTCTTCTCCCCTGTGAGTAACAGCTTCAACGTGCCTGAACTCGAGGAGGAGGGGACCTCATCCTCTGCTTCTATTCTGAAGGCATATAAAGGATAAGGCAGAGCTGTCCCATAGAGAAACAAGGTGAGCTACAAATGCAAATTGCATATGCAACTTAAAATTGTCTGGTAGTACATAAAAAAGCAAAAAGAAAAATGAAACAAATTTTAATAATTTATAAGACCAATTTATCAAAAATATTATTTCAACATGTAATCAATACAAAAATTTTAAGTGAAGTAGTTCACATTCATTTTTTTACTCTGAATCTCAGAAATCTGGTGTGAAGTTTTTCCTTGCAGCACATCTCAATCGGACTAGCCATATGTTGAGTGCTCAGTACTCATGTGCAGCTGGTCTTTATCATATGGAACAGTGCAGCTCTAAGGCTTCCTATGTTTTCTTTCTAATGGGAGTGGGTGGGGAATTGGAGTGGGGTGAATTCGGCTTAGTAGACTGGGGCATCCACAAATA